GTTGAAATTCTATTTGAAAGCCCTATTGGGAGTTAGAATTGGACTTGAAGAGGTGGACCGGGATGAAAAGTCGCGCATTTTCGCTAGCCTACCACTAGCGGGACGCTCAAGCAACACCTACAGGTTGTCGCCCGACTATCGCTCGAGCGACAGACCTATCGCTAGCTTATCGCTCAAGCGATGTGGTTATCCGACTTAGGCATTTTTCGCGTTTTAACATGTTGGCATTCTATTTTAACTACAACTTATCTATTAGGATTTGGACGTCGCCCTACATAGTTACCTATAAATATTAGGCTGGGTTATGATCATTGTAATAATTCTTCACCTTCATTATTTGTGGTCAATAAAATCTCTTCATTCATCTGCCATATTTTCTTATCTTCTTTTATTCTTTTATTTGCGATGAAATACTTCATTATTGTGCCATATAACCTCAACATCTCAATCGGTGGTTGGTTTCATATCAAATGGTATCGAGCAATACGTGATCTTTGAATTTTCAATAATTGGTATCAGAGATTCTTGGTATAATTAACACAACAGCCTCTATAATGTAACCCAACTTTATTTTATTAAAATATTATTATAAATTTGTGAATCAAATAAATCAAGAGAAGGCGTTTCTTCTCTTCTCTTTATTTTTTATTGTTTCGTTTTAACTTTTTAATGATCGCATGTATGTTGTGAATCACAAGTAGTTGAAACTCAAATACCATGACAACCTCTCCCTCGGCTTTTTATTTTTTTATTTTCTCTCTTTTGATGGTCACTTATATATATGCAAAATCAAGATATATTGTCTTCCTTTTTATGATCACATATATTAAGGACATGTTTGAACTCTGTTTTATTAAGAAAATACATTTTGAAATAGTAAAAAGTTAGAGAATATGTGGATGAAGAATAAGTAAAAGTTTTGAATTTACCTGTAACATTATTTTATGAAAAAATACGTGACTGAAAATGAGCGTTGATAAAATGAATTTTGGAAATAATAGGGATCAAACAATGCACTATGTATGATTAATGAGTAATTGGAACATACAAAACTAAGATCTGGTGTCTGTATCTCCCTCTTTCGCTCTTTTTTTCATTTTTTTCCTTTGAAATAAAATCTCGCGTCTTCTTGAACTATCAGTTCCCTAATGGAGTCGAATAGAAATCACACGTAAAGTTGTCGTCAGAACTTGCTCCATTGAGAGTTAAATTTAGTGTTTAACGTCATTTGTTTAAGTTCCTTGATGATTAAACGACACTGTTTTACGAACAGCCAATAGAAGGGCACCACATGACCCCCCCCCCCCCCCGGCGGCCAGGGCCCACTGGCTATGTAGAAGTATCTCAATCTGTATTGAAATTGAGTTTGGACTGCAAACATGGTCTGGGAGAGCTGGAAACTGAGCATGTAGGGATTTTGATTTTCTTGTGTAAGTTTTAATTGAGACAATATGACCAAAACGACGCCTTCTTTTTATGGAAAAATTTGTAAAGTAACATCGTTTTGGTCTTTGATGATATTTTTTTGACACATTTCAAACGATGAATGGAAATTGAATCACGCTATTAGATTCTTTTTATTTCGTTGGACGCGTGTTGATTTTATTTGACTTTCGTATGCTTGTCAACTTTCAGATTATATTGTGACTGGAAAAAGATTTAAGTATTTGTGGGGGTGAAATACAGTTGTCCATGTAATGAAGTTGTTTCAAATTTTGATATAATTGTAGGTATTTCCTTTAAATGAGTAATATATAGCAAATCGTTGACGTCGTTTAGAGCTTTATGGGTTGCAAAGATGATTTTGAGTAGCCTCTATCCTGTGTTTAAATGATCACTGTTGCTTGAAATTTGAAAACACTATCAACTTTTTTGCCCCGTCATTTATTCACTTCTTTTTTCTAGCTTCTTTAGTTGTTCCTTTTTTCCAAGTTACTATATGCTCTTCATTTTTTCTCTCATCCCTGAGTGAATTGTTTCAAAAATCACTGAATTTATATCATCGTCACGGACTACTCACCGAACTTCATTCTGCTTCACAGTATTCACTCAACTTTGTCATTTACCTCTCCATCCACCAATGTCAAAAATTCGTTTGTTGGGCGCTAACGTGTATATCAAGCTATCGTGGTGGGACTTGCTGGTCCTAAAAGCTTTCGAAGAATTAATGGTTTATTTGATGTAAATTTTTTGATAATAGATTTTAAGAAAATTGATTTTTTTTTTTTTAAAGTAGAAGAATTTATGAATTCACGTGAAAAAATATTTTATTATGAGTGATTGAAAATAAATTTTTTAAAAATGATTTTCTATTAATATGTACCAATAAAGAGATATTTTTGGAAAAAAAATAATTATAGAATGGGGTATTTTTAGGCTTTTTGGAGAAAAAGTATGATAGTTTTAGCCCCCGTTTAAGTCCCATATTTTGAGAATATGGTAAAAAGCGATTTTTAATGTGTAGTTAAAAGTGTGAAAAAATTTGGATTTATGTGCAAAATTATTATATTAGAAAAATAAGATATAAAAAATATGGTTCAAGCATGGACTTAATTAGGTGTATTAAATGGGGTGAGTTGAGCGCGAGCTAGCTTGCCTCGAGAAACCTAGGCTTAGCTTGCCCCATGAGCTCGTCTCTTGGTCGACTCATTTGCTATTTTTTTCTTTTATACTGATAATTGCATTGTTACTACTAGAAGTGTATTGAAGATAGATTTCTAAGAAAACATAAGAAATTATAAATTTGCAAAAAGCCTCGTCCTTTTTTCGGGCTTGAAACAATATAACGATTAAAAACTAAAACTTTATTACAATTCAACATTCATAGTACGCAATTTCACATTTGAAAATATATTAGGACACCTTCATCTTCTTGAAAAATCATTGATGGAAACAGACGTGGACTCCTGTTAGGTTTGACAATTTATAGATGGTCAAGTTTCATTTCAACCATCAAGTAATATTCATTAATATATCACTTGTACCTATCTTTTTATAAATTTAAATGGTTTAAATTCTTCTCAAGGCTTGTATATATTTAGATATTTATTTTAGTTCAAAAAAATTAATTTAATTAAGTTTTTATTATTTTTTTTTTAAAATAAAGGTTAAAATAAATAAAATTTGGGGCAAACGTTTTTTTGGACACACTCATTTTTCATCTTTGCCCTTAATACTTTCTTTCTCGAAAGATGTATTTTTGGCATTCGAACTCTTACCCCTCTTTATCAAGACTCAAGAGTTTGTGAGTGCATCCCGATAAAGAAAGGAAAAGCAATAGTACTCTAACAAAAGCATCCCGATAGAAATGCAAATACTATAGAATATCGTGGATCAATGTAGCAAAGTCCAACACAAACATTTGACTCTCGAACTTTATCAGAATGTACTATTCAAAATTGTTTGCCAACATTCAATATACCTTATGTAAGTCTAAGTTCTAGTTGTTGAACACTTCAAAAAGTCGAAGTCTAGTAATTAACTACATTTTCAAGAGAATCAATCAAACTTCATTTAGATTAAATTCTCAAGCTATTTGAGTTTTTAAGTTTGGCCCAGAATTTAAATGTACAATCAATTCTTTCGTTAAGCTCGATTATTATCAGCATTGATCACTGAAAAATAAAATTTTATTTTCATATGTGTTTGGGAGTCGCGATCTTGAAAAACATACACATTCTCAATTTCCTTACATTCTCATTCTCCTCTTCCCACATAGCATACAAATTTCAATCTATGATTTTCCCACTGAACACAAATATGGAATGAATTGTTATTTGTGATTAATTTGTGGTCTATGATAAGTCATAGTGCAAACTAGAAAGGTATACTAAAAAATCCACATTTTCCAAACATTGTAGTAATCAATAGTAAATTGTATTTGAGACTTTTATACGAAATTCAAACTCGACATATAGCGACAATGTACTTTGGGTATAGATATATGTAAATGAAAATCGAGTATATATGATTATATTCAAGTCATCATACTTAATATATGGAAACAACGTAACCCTACAAATTCAATTATCATGACTTCCAAGTAAGATCAAAGTTACCCTAAATTCGATAGTATGAGAATGAGAAGTGAGTGAAAGATTCGATCGCTTGAAAAAAGAAACCAACAAATCCAATACAACTCATTCTTATCATTCCAATTTTTACATTTGACCACCTAAATCGATCCTTTTTTGCGTGAAATATCCTTATCGTCCATTACTTTCTTTCTATTTATTTAAAGATTATGATAAATTTGTCGTTTACAGGCTTTAGTGGGGGAAATGAATAGTAAGAAATGTTTTGCTCAAAGAAAGATTGATTTGAGGATTCAAATGTCAATTATAACTATGAAAAAGATTTAAACAAATGATAAGAACGTTTTGCTATAATTATCTTTACTATAAAGATATTTAACCCTTTTTGGTGCTTTTTAAAAATTTATTTTTATTCGAATTCATTTCTAATTATACATTTTTTTCAGTAAAATAATTTTATACATAAATCTAAAAATTTCCTACTTTTAACCATAATTTTTCAAAAAGTTCACTTTTCATAAAATTTATTTTTTTAAAAACTCTACCAAACAAACTCTTAACCCCAATTTGGTGGGGATTAAAATAAATTTTTTAATAAATTTCGATAAAAAATGATTAAAAGTGTGTTCGAAAATTGTGAATTTCACGAAATATGTGGTTATAATTTATTGTTGATTTTAATCTAAAATTACTATCAATCATGGGCTTAATTTGTTGTTCTTCTCATTTGTATGTACCACTTGAATAATTAAAGAAAAAAAAATAGGTAGCCTGAGCTACTTTCTCTCTCCTTCCCATTTGAAGAAAATTCAGACAATTTCAGCGTCATTTGGAGAAATTTCGTGATGTTTTTTCTTACCATTCTCAAATCAAATCAGCTCACACCAAATCACTATAATCCAGGAAAAAATATAGCAAAAGTTATTTCTTTACGAGTTTAAGGTAGAGAGAAGAAAACCCAGAGAGATGGATAGAGCGTTCTCTGTGGATGAGATAGCGGACCAGTTCTGGTCGCCGCAGCCGCCGTCGATTCGGCTGGATTTGGAAGAGAAGGATGAGGAGGAGCACTCGTCGTCCTCCGCCACAGCTGCCTCGTCCTCGTCGAAGGCGATGAAGATGAACCGGAGCTCATCAGAATGGGCATTTCAGCGCTTCCTACAGGAAGCTGCCGCTCCTGATCATTCCCCTGCATCATCTATGCATCCCCAAAACGCCGACGTTGTGGAGATCGAAGACAATAATCAGCATCAGCATCGGAAGATGGTGGCGGCGGCGGCGGCGGCTGCGGGCTCTTTACAGCCTGCTATTCCGGTGAATTCTGATGAGTACCAGGCCTTCCTTAAAAGCCAACTCGAGTTGGCTTGTGCAGCTGTCGCGTTTACCCGGGTATTTCTTTCTAATTTTATTATGCAATTCTTCAATTTCCGATTTTCTCACCCAAAAAACAGAACTTTGGAGTTTTCTATGTGATTTTTGGAATTAGTTTGAGCTGATCTGAGAATTTTGTAGTTTGTACATTGTGCCTTATTAGTTGTATCTTCCCAATTTTATATTGGTTTTCTTTTTGCTTCATATATTTTCACTCTCTATACTAAAACATGTATGTGAGTAAACTGTGCATTGTGAATTGATCTATGCAGTCAGCTAATGTAAAGGATCAAGATTCAGCAGTTGCGACTCCTGATAACAGGATGCAGGCCTCTAATTTATTGCAGCCGGGGCCTCAGGTTCCTCAGAAAGGTTAGCACGCTGCATCTTATTTAATTGGAATTATATTCATTCGAGGAAAAATGTGAGTATACAAATACATTTAATATTATAATGTGTATGTGAATGTATTAAAATGCTGCTGGCTGTACCTTTGAACTAACTGGATCATTATATCTCACATGTATGTACTTTTGTCTAGCAGCAAAGAGGTCGAAATATTTCTTTTTCAGTAAAATTGTGTTCTTGAAAAACGAGAAATTGGAGTAAGGAAAGTAACAGGCACTTAACTGCCACCAGCTGTCCAATATTTTGCTTACAATCATAAATGGAGATCATAATTCAGATTTCCCCAAATTGATTCTCATTGCCGTTCAAATTCCGGCCAATTTTTCCTCTCCATGTGTACTAGTCGCATTAAATTTAATGTTGTCACCTTTAATCCTCATCTCTAGTTTCAATTTGGTTGCATATTCTAATTTTCTCCCTTCTTCTAACACTAGTAAGAGTTCTGTATGGACCTATTTGCCAAAGGTTAAATGGGTTTTTCATGTAGAATCCAGATTTTTATATAAACTTAATTGGAAGTGATATAGCTATATTTCTGATACTTCACTTTGTCTTTTGGGCAAAGAAGGAAAAGTTTGTGTTTTCTGTTATCAAGTTCTTGTTTAATCTTTCCTGTTATTTACCCTAATGTGTTTCCTTCCAAAATTCAAGTGATGAAACCATTTTTCGGCAATTCCCTATAAGTCAAAAGCTAGCCTTAAACTAAAGACAGGTTGATACCAATCCCTCTTTTCTTTTGTGCTTTAGTGGTCTCAAATAGGGCTCAAGCTAGGGACATTACTATATAAATGAGACTTCATCCTTATGCATTAAATACCTTTTAAGTTCTTTACATGATTTTCTTGCATTAAGCAGACCTATTGTAGAACTTATTCAAACTAAGAGCGTGCACTGTGGAGTTACACATGTGACTGCAATTGTTTCACATGGAAAATTAAAAGATAAAAGTGAAGCTTATTTATGTGGCTGAACCCAAGGTCTAATAACATAAGCTTTGGGTGTAAAATTGGGCTCGAAAGATGTGTGTTGGACCTAAGAGTACCTATGATCCGCTAAGAACTATATGAATGTTGTGTATTGTTGTTGCAATATGATTTTTCTTAATCTTACAGTGAATTGATAATTTATTTGGCTTTTTCTCTACTCAAGGTTAATTTATTTGGTGAACACGTCTTTGGATATTTTACTATCGAAGTTGGATGTTAAATCCTCTTTATATGAGACCTTCAAGTTTCGTTAGTTAACAATGATGATGTGTTTTGTTAAACTTAGCAAAAGACTATCCAATCTCACGATTCACCTTTTCTCCCCTTTCCTGATATGCAATGTTGACAACCAAAGTCTCTTGACTTCTCCTTTCTTCATATCTACTAATGATCATCTTTCAATTTATACATTCAGGCTTCATATTAGAATGTTAAGTCATCTAGAAATCCTTTTGATTGAAGCACTTTCCTATTATACGTCTTCGCTTTTGACAAGTAAAACAATAGTATAAATCAGTACAAACACCATGGGGTCGTGTTTTTGGTATATTGGCTGCCAAGGAATTCATTACAAGGCAAGGCCTAAATGACTCTGGCTTAAAAACTGTTTCTAACATTGTTTTTTGTTTGGGTCTTGTATTTCCTCTTTAACAGCTGGACTGGGTTTATCGAAAGGCCAAGATAAGGACACTAATGTACCAATTGGTGTACCTTCCCTGCCTGCAGTGCCGAGAAAACCTGTGACCCAGGTGAAGTCAATAACAAGTGGATCATCTGGGGACCAGTCAGATGATGATGAAGCTGAGGGAGACACAGAAACAACTGAGAATATGGATCCTACAGACACAAAACGCATGAGGAGGTATCAACAGCTGAACTTTTATTTGTCTATCCTATTAGATGAGTACAATATGAGAGAATTGCTAAAGCAATTTTGCATGCAAAAATCTACCAGTTTTGATAATAAAATCATATTAGTATCCTCTCTGAAGGATCCTTCTTCAAAAGGGACTCTTTTTATATGTGGGTGTATTTATGTGTGTATCTTGCTCCAACGATCCAGTAATGAATTAAAAATTAAGAATAATATTGATAGGGTGAGGACTGTTGTCACCAGTGGGGTTGGTAGAAGCTTCTTAATGTTGCCTTTGCAGCCAACGGCTGAGGAAGCTGCAAGGCAACCAACTCTTTACTAAAACAAATGAAAATCTATATGGATATCACACAGATCAGAGAAATTCAATCAGCGAGACAACAGATTATATCAAACGATTTTAGATTCTATGAAGAGATTATATATAAGTAGATTTATAAACACAAGAAATGGAGGTATAGGGAAAAAATTGAAAAAAATTATGTTAGTGTTTTTATTTTGATTCTGGTTCATGCATTTCATTAATTTTACTTTATCACCTCATTTTTTGATAGGTATACTTTATCACCTCCTTACAATATTATATATGCATTTTTTTTTTCCTTTTTTGTCACGAGGATGGGTGGGGGGTTGGGATGTCCAAATTTGTTGAAAAGACAGTTATTTGACCTGTTAATTTTAAGTGTGGTGACATAATCCACTTGAACATCCTTTTTGTAGTATGTAAGCTTCTGCTAATACAAACGGGTCTGAATTAACAAATTTCTAGTGATCTCTTTCTCTGGTGCAAACAAATTTCTAACACAAGCCACTCAGCCAATTGTTATTGGAGATCACCTTGCCAATTGTTACAACATGCATGCTTGTGTCAAATTTTCTTTTTCTTTTTCAAGCATGGGAAACTGCTTTTCTTTTTAATAGAACTCATTAATTATGTTGGATATTCTAATACTAAATAATGGTCCGTCAATTATGAGAGTATAAAAGCGGATGTCAGTGAACAATAAATTGACAAATAGACTGGCTTCAATAATTATTAACCACTAATTAGTTTACCTTGTTATCTGTGTTTTAAAATATATTGATCATTTATTTTTTCATATTTCAATGTAATTGTTTCCTATTAATTTTATGATATTGTGGCAAAATAAGTTCAGTCCTCTTACAGTGCATTATTTTTTTTTCAGAATGGTTTCAAATAGAGAATCTGCTAGACGCTCGAGAAGAAGAAAGCAAGCCCATTTGACCGAGATCGAAACACAGGTATATATTCTACCCGTCACCTTCATTTATTATTTTCTGGGCTATTCTTGTCATTTTTTGCTTGTGCTTCTTCCTAGGTCTCTCAACTAAACGGGGAAAACTCTTCTTTACAAAAGCGCCTCTCTCACATAAACAATAAGTACAATGAAGCAGCCGTTGATAATAGAGTTCTGAAGGCTGACGTTGAGACACTGAGAGCAAAGGTGAGTAAACCAAGTGTTCTGTCATTTTATTTTAGCCTTGTGAATCTTCTTTAGGCAGTTCAAAAGTTGAGTTAGAAAACCTAATGCATTTTCTCATGAAAAAGAAATAACTAACGAGAAAAAAATCTAATATCATCTTATTGGTGGTCACGGGTACGAAAACAATGCTCTTAAAACTTCTCTGTTCAGTTTATATCAGATTTGGGTCCATTACAATGGCTATCAATGCACATTATACTTCTCTGTATATTATTAAATCATTTTACCTTTTTATTGTATGACTTGGGTGTGCGGATCTGTATTATTCTAGTATCCAAGTTTAGTTGATAATCCCGCTTTCTTTAACAGGTGAAAATGGCAGAAGAAACTGTTAAAAGGGTTACCGGATTGAACCCGCTTTTCCAAGCCATGTCTGAAATATCCACGATCGGTATGCCATCTTTTGGTGTTAGTTCTGATGCATTAGCAGATGCGGCTGCACCAGTACAAGATGTCCCAAACCAGCATTACTATCAAGCTCCTACTAACCACATGCCGATAAGTGATCATATGATCCAAAACAGTTTGGTAAATATTCCTCCGGTGGATAACATAAATCAGAATTCAGCAACAGAAGAAGTCGGGGGGGACGAGGTAGGAGGAACTGTTTCTATGCAGCAAGCGGCTAGCTTGGAACATCTGCAGAAGCGAATCCATGGTGGGTTAAGACACCAGTAAGTTTATGTTGAAGATCGACAGAAAGGTCTTCACCAACTTCTATTGGTGTATATACAGAAATTCCTCATGTATGTCTAAATGCTTCAAGGAAAAGATTTTATCGTTGTAATGTTCACAAGCAAAGTTATTATTATTATTATTATTATTATTTTCTTGGTTCCAAAATTTGAATAACTTTAATAAGGATCCAAATAATTGTCAAAACCGATGGTCTTTTTTTTTTTTTCGATAAATGTGAATTTGCATTGATCAAAACTAATATACACGTACGCTAGGCGTGCCCAAACTTTCAGTCAAAAGATGTATAAATGATAAGATCTAAAGACTCAAAATGAATCAAAATATGAGGATACAATAAAAATGTGATTTTGTATACATATGTTTTGATTCGTTTCATTATGCCGTCGGAGTGTGGTCTAAGATAATAAAAAAATTTCTTATATCTTGCCATCCAAATGTGGTAAACGGTGCTAGCAAGAGCAATTCTCTTGGCTTTGCTTTGTCAAGATGTCTATTGGACATCCTTTTTAATCCATTTCAATGAGCTAGCTGACGTAGACAGTCCATCTAATGCCCGTTACTTTCAAATCTGCCCCCGTGTAGATGAGCTGAATGGACAATCGAAGAACAGGTGCAGGCCGGATTCTGCCGTTTGTCCACAAAAAACACAGTTTCGATCAATATCCAAGTGTTGTAATTTATCCTTGGCAAGCAACCTAGACTGGGCACTTAGCCAAAATATAAATGAGCATTTTCGATCAATAAGGCTTCCAAACATCCGTTGCCTAGACTTTGTTAGTACCCTTGGGCTGGAAATACTCTTATGACTGGGAAATAAGTAGGCTGCCCCCACTATTCCAGTTCGCCAGGTGCTGAATGGCAGCTTGCACGCTGCCCTCTTTTTGGATGAACAAGCTCCGAATGATCAACAATTTCTTAAGCAATGGGGAGTCATCATTTTTAGGCGTCCACTCCCAAATAGATGCCCCTCTCAAATACACATGATTGACCCAACGGACCCAAATAGTGTTTTTCTTGTCATGTATGTTCCAAAGGGATTTGCTTCCAACACTTTGTCTCGAAATCCCAATCCTCTCTCGTTTTTGGGGAGAGAAACACTTGTCCAAGCAACTAATGATTTTTTGGAATTCCAAAGAAAGATTCTACAAAGCTGTATAATTCTCGACATAACTGTGGCCGGAATTGGAAATATAGATAATCAAAAGCATTCCACTCCTTGCAAGACTGTCCTCACCAATTCGACCCTCCCAACATAGGAAAAAGAAGTGCGTGTCCATGCATTAATGTATGCCGCAATCTTATCCACGAATAGGGCATAGTGATTAACTTTCAATTTTACTGCAGCACGCCCGCAAGTGGAATCCCCAACGACAAAGTCCCCTTAGGCATGCCCACAACATCTTGGATTTCATCCAAATCTTCTCGTGGATACCTGCTATGCATAGGCTTGATTTACTCAAATTCGCCATCAATCACGAGCAATCACTGAACTTGGACAAGCAATGCATCAGTACGTGCACCGAAAAAAACATCACCTCTAGCAAATAACATCAAATCGTCCGCATAAGCCAAATTTGTGATTTTCAGGAGCCCACATTTTGGATGGTAGTTAAATTCACTATTGCTAGTAGCCGCCTTCAATGATCTTGAAAAATATGCAAGACAAATCACGAATAAAAATGACGATAAGGGATCACCTTGGCTTAGTCCCCTTTTACCCTTAATGAAACCATGCAAGCTACCATTAAGTGCAACCATCACCCACCTAATGAAACCATGCAAGCTACCATTAAATAAATGCAATGCAGCATGAGAACAGCGGACTTTCTAATCCTTGTCTGATGAAATTGAACCAAGAATCCATCGAATAACAATAATTGGTATACAACTAATATCAAAATGAATGAGTTGTGCATGCGATAATAGAAAGCAGCAGCTACAACAAGTACTGATTACATTAGCATGTCTCAAACTTGGGAGTTCTCCTTCGTGCCCGAGACTTTAGCCTCTGGTTTCTCTTCTTCACTGACTGTTGTAATCTTCTCAGCAGGAGGCTCCTCTGAAGACTCAGTATTCTTCTTCAGTTCCGACTCTAGTTCTTTTGCAGCCTACAACAGAAATATGTCAATACCTGGAGTCCGTTCTGTCTGTCTGTTGATATTCTATATGCATAGAGTAAAATTAAAACACACACAGGTGAAATCCCAAGCTAGGAGTTCATATTTTTTCTAAGAGAATATATAAAGGAAAACTGGCAAGCTCATTGAATGGTAAAGATAAAAACTGCTTAGTTTAGATGATTATATGAGTTATAGGAAGAAATGAGATATATAATCTACGCATATGCAAGGCATATATATAGAAGTTGGACACTCAAAAGCACAAAAAAGTGATGAGTTTGTAGCCCATTCTTCTTGTGATTTTTAGAAAATGAACAAAGGAATCATGATTTAGTGCAATCAAAAGGAGCATACATAACATATGCACCATATCAGTAATTTAGGAGCATACATAACATATGCACCATATCAGTAATTTTATGTATTACACGCTTCCTCTAATTTAGTTCATCATCCCCTTTCATAGCTTCTTTGATCAGAAACAACCAACAGAACCCCCATGTAATTTCTTGGATTGGGAAAGAAAAAGAAACAAGCAGAATCCCACACAATTAAGATAAGCGAGGAGATTTCTGTTTAGACAATAATACACATACCTCCGGGTACTTCTAAAAGGCTAGCATTTCCTTGTCGGTGATGTTTTGAAAATTGATACTTTCTAGAAACTTTAAAAACTGTTTTAGAAACGTGAAAAAAACTTCCTACCTTTTTACCTTTTAATAGATTTCAGAAACTCAAGAGAAAATTCAAAGGGGAACTTAAGGATACTCTTTGAAAATGTTACGACTTCTGTTATGTTTCAAATGTATATACTTACTAAAGTATTGATTACAAACAAGCTAATGGAATTTAAAAAATTAAAGAAAGTAGAATGATGTCCATTGAGTGTATTTTGTGAAGAAAATAAATAAAAACCTTGACATTGAAAGAAGAGTAGTTAAACAGAAAGAATCAAGATGAAAATGACAAAAGCAATAGACAATTCAACAATCATGTTAGCAAACTTTTTTCTTCAATTTGCAGTTCCCCACACCATAAAGAATTAACAGAAGCAAGAATCAAATTTGGTTAGTACTCCTAAATTATTATGATATTTATCCTTAACTAATAATTTCACAGTCAATTCAATCTTACAAACAACAATTATAGATTTAACAACTATATTAATGGCAATCTCCATTTTCTATTGAGAAAAGTCTATGATAATAAGTTGAACGAATTATAGTGCAGTATGTAGCAGGAGAAGAATTTGGCACTTTTAAAGATATTGGAATACTCGAATTTGTCAAACTTTCAATTCATGAATCAGAGATGGAGACTATGTTGTTCAATAGTGATGCTCATGGTGAATGATGATAAATTAATTTGGAACTTGAAGCAATTTTTTAAAATTAATTAATTAATTTATTTATTTGAGTATGTTAGTTATCTGAACATATGCTTGTTTACTATTAGTAAAATCCTTTCCTGACTACAAAATAAATTACATTAAAATTTCAACTTGACTGTTGCATGTTATTTTTAGTATTTAATCAATATTAAATAGACTGCCTTAACTGGAATATCGAAATAACATATTTTTCATGAGATATTTTCCCAGTTTCATGGCCTATTTTTTGTTAGAGGTGTGCCTATTACATTATTTTGTATTTCTCATTTCAATTCCATGCTACCTAAACAACTATGTTCATGGAAAATTAACAAATTTACTTCGCCAGTCTAATTTGGGAAATGAATCGGAAAGAATGCAAAACAGTATATCCTGATATTTAACTTAAGCTCATAGTTGTTTATTTGAAATAATAATAATAAATTAATAAAAATTGGGCACTTGTTAAAGTATGAGAAAGAGATACCTTTCAGAAAGTTCCTCTTGGTCCTACAAATTAATCTCTTTTCTCATTTTCTTCTCATTTCTCTTGAAAATCAAACAAAACAAAAAATGCATTTCTCCCTTCTCTTCTAATTTTCACACTTCATTTTATCTCCATTTCTCGTGTTCCCTTCTTTCTCTCCACACCAAAAACACCGCCAATATCAAGTGTTGACAAATATCAAATAAAACAAATACAAACCAACAACTTGTATATCATTACTTCGAAGCTCTAATAGTTCATACACTGGAAGCAAGCATGTTTGTGAGTGCTTAAAAGCTTCTTACGAGGAGCTATTTTTTCGCAGCAATCCCAAACACGCACATAATTTATTTTTATTTTTTTTTGAAAAAGAAGTACATAAAAATTGTCCCGTGGCATAGGAGGAGAAAGAAACATAGCGGAAGAATAGATCAAAACAAGTGGGGGGAGTTGCAACAACAGTCCAATCCTATAAGGTCATTTGTACTAGGGGTCCCCATTCTAATCTTTTAGCCATACAGATTCTCGTCCTTCATTTCCCATAGTAATGAGGTTATTTTATACAATCATCAAATACAGGCATTAAATTTGGTGAGAAGTCAAAGTTATTCAAAGAAATCAAAAAACTTAAGTGCTTGTGTGAAAGTGATTATTTATAAAATGTTTCAAAAAGTGATTTTTTGTTAGAATATGTGGTAAAAAGGTAGGGATAAGTTATGGAGAAACGTGAAAAATGTGCGATTGAAGATGAGAAGCGGGAAAAAGTGATTTTCAAATAATCAATTTCAAACAAGGGCTAAATATTAAACAAGAAAACTCCCCCTCCCATTGTTAAGCCCCCCCCCCCCCCCCTCTCCCAACTCCCCCACCATCCCGCCCCCTACAACTCAATCCTCCCCTCAGCTACGATGTGAAACAATAAGGCATTTTTTCGATCTTTTATTTCTTAGATATTGGAATAAGGAACTAATCCAGATGTAAGCAGTGAAGGTTTAACGAATGAGATTAAGAATGAGCAGAAAGAAACGTCCTTTACTAGTTTACTTTGAGGGAAAGGAATAATTGTATCAAAGCAGGAAATTCACTTTAATGTTCCTGTAGAATGAATGTACATCTTGTTGGAGACTTGAGCAGAAATTGTGTTATCTTATCGAAGCAAAAAAGAAATGTTTCTAATCGGGTATTCTTAAATTTTTTTTATAATAATTGGAAAAGAAAAGTGTTCGCTTTAGGTAAGTTGTTTCAAGTCATTCTCTTGTGAATCTCTTTATTGCACTTACATCAAGGTGCTTTGAAAAGATTCACATCTAGGAAATGCTATTCATGCCAATTTTGCCCAATCTAACAGATGCATAGCAATGTATTGGGAGCCACCGAAAAAGTCCTACTTGTCATTTGTTTATTGGCATATGCAAAATTTATCCAGCTAGCTGCCAATCCTTCGACAACTTGGTCATTTGAACTGTATGATGCATTTCTTAACCTTGGTGCAACCCTTGGTTTCATTGTTTCTTATGTCAAAGTTTGAAGCATCCCTAGTTAAAGAAAAGCCAAATTAAGATTTTTTGTTGCCTCGAACAGTCTATTGATTCTCTTCGTAGTCCCAAATTACTCACATAATATTTCTAGAAAACATAAGTTCTTTTCAGTTTTCTGTATTTTTCTTTAACAATACCATACCAAATTCTAGAGGGTTGAAAGTTGAAACAGTCTTTTCCCTGATTAATCAACACTAGAAATTCTCACAAAGTCTAGGAAATCCCCAATATCAAGAGTCCAGGTACCTAAAATTAACTCAAGCAGCATAGTTCATATTCAAATTTGGCTAACTACCAAACTAAACAAGATAAAATCGAAAAAGTTGGGAGCATTCTTACAATAATGAAAACAATATTGATAAAAGTTCAGATCATTTTCATATTAATCAGAAAATTGATAGATAAAAGCAAAAGAAATAGAAAAACCATACCTGCTGGAAGCTCTTAACAGTCTTGCCAATACTCCGGCCAACTTCGGGCAACTTCTTGGGCCCGAAAACCAGCGCAACCACGCCGGCAATTACAACAAGCTCCGGCACTCCGAGCCCGAAAAGGCAGTTACACGAAAGCCCCCTTTTCTCACTCGTACTGGCTCTTCTGGACCGATTCACAACCAGGTGAAGACCAGCCCGGTTATTAACATGGTCGCCAAAGAACAGTGAGCTGGACGAAGAGAACACAGTAGTAAATCTCGTGGTAGGTGTAAGATTGAGTTTTGTAGCAATAACGGGAGATGAAATGGTCGCCATTTGTGCAGAAAACTACCTTTAATTTGTAAAATTGATTTGAAAAAGTGGAATTCGCGTTCTTGGTTGGTGGTGAGTAGGTAATGATTACTATTTACTAATCAGAGCTTCCATAATCGTGCGGATAAATCAAATTAAATTTTCCACGGACTGTTAATTAATGGATCGGGTCTAGGGCCCAAAGTTTGGATCCAAACCCAAGTCTTTTTATATCATATTAGTGACGAAAATAGCTAGAATCTGTTTGGCAAGCTGGGAATGCCATGCTCATTTAGAAGATTGGGAAACCTCCAACACAAGACTTTGGGCTATATATTCGGCTTCATACGAATGCCTCTTTGGACTCCTGTATGCCATTTTGAGTTGGGGGCACAATTAAATCCTATACAAATCGAATATTTTGTCTTAATTTTTGAATGATTCATATTTAATCAAGAGAAAATGTAGATTTACATTTAAAAAATAATTTTTTCATTAATATTTTGCTCATTATTTTCATCTATTAGATTTCGAACAGTCATCCCATTTTATCAATATTTTGCTCATCACAAGAAAAATACATATTTACGTTTGAAAATTTTATAGTGTATTGATACAAACAATTAATTTAAGTAATTAAAAGGAAAAAATATATAATCAATATTCAATATTAATAATCAATTAAACAAACATGATTCGCTAAATATAAGTCAAATTGGTTATAATTAGTTCAGACACATTCTATATATATAATTTGATATGAGGAAATGCAAATTTAGGTTCTAATTGGTTGAAAATTTGATTGGAAAGTGAAGATTTGTAGCAAATGTGATAAATTGCAGAGAAATTATAAAAAAAATTAAAAATTATAAGGGTTAATGTTTTGGTAAAGGGGGTAAGGGAGAGAGCAAGAGAGGTGGAAAAAATTCAAATTTATTATGATTCTGTCTCTGTTTGATGAATATTAAAATTATATATTTAGTAAATTTTGATAAAAGTTAAAAAATTATAGATTTCATGAAATATGCTATTAAAATTAATTGTTAGCTTTGATTTAGCCCTTGTTTGGTGCGCATTATGAGTCCAAGAATGCATTTTTTTTGTTTGATGTGATGTGGAATATGTGGTTGAAAAAGAAAGAAAAATTAATGATGTGATGAAAACTATTATTTTATTGAAAAATGTGTGGTTGAAAATGAGTAGAAGAATGATAATTAAAAAAATAATGTGGCCCAAACAGGGATTTAGATTAAAATTTAAATTTCAATCGATATCAAACATGATTTTATAAAAAAAAAAATCTCAAAAGTTGGGGGTCACGTTACCCGAGGACCCCCTAGGTCCGCCAATGGTGGTATCTTTCATGAAATGCACAAATCTTGTTGTGTTTATTTCTTTCACCGTTAAAATACTCAACAAGTTTGAAATAATTCAAAATCAATTGTATCCAATGCGTTTGAAATAAGTTAATCATGTAGATGAGCATAAGTGACTCCATATAACGACTAATAAAACCAGTTTCATAGAGAATTCATTGTTGAAAAATTCGAACATATGGGGCCACACATATAATATATTAAAATATGTGATGCTATTGTTTAAAGATTAGTCAATTAAAGTGATCCGTTAAAGTTAATTTTGACTAATGGGTATTAAATTTCATGGAAATATAGTGTAGAGATCGGAATGTTGTTTTAAATTGATGAGATGCCATTTTGAAACAATTGAAAGATAATAACTGCATAGTCAGTTATTATTATTGGGTCATGGTCCTCAAATTTGATAATAACTTTTCATTCTCTGCATCCCCATCAACAGAGAGTAAATTGAAGAGAAGATCACGAATCAATTGGAAGATCATAACTCATTTAGGCAAACAATCAGACATTTATAGATCAAGGTATGTTTATACTTTATTCTTTTCTCTGATTTCAACATGGAGTGTGTATTAAGGTTTATATGTGAAAATGGTTTGATTAAAGCATATGGATTGATAATCCATTTTCTTGTTTTCTACCATTCAGACAAGGTTCTTGAAGTTTGTAGGATCAATATCATTCCTTGACAATTTGATTCTACATTCAACGGGTGCGCTAACCTGCCTGATTCTCCTATGTTAAACTTCTTGATCATTTTTCTTCCATGGCCTTTTCAAGAAACAAAAATACTTGTGTTACTTTACATCATTTATGTGCCAAGATAGTATGACATCAACCCGAGATTGGTCATCTCGAATCCTTGTTAAAGGCCAACATAGTAAAATCATTATCTTCAAAAGATTTTTCAATTCTACTATACCATATTAGTGTTTACTTCAATCCTTATAAAACTTGTTTCAATTCTATAACTTTATTTTCTTTTTCTTTCACCTCATAATCAAGCGGTTGTTCAATGTAAACTTCATCTTCAATATATTCATTTAAGGGCGGATTTCAATAACCTTAGTTGCATAAATTAACATCTTGAATTGCCTCACCGGCACGGTATAAAAGAGTGAATGTACTAATCATGTCATAAGTCGATCACCTTTAATGATGTCGCGGTACCAACTATCTCATTTAGAGTTTGACCGACACCTACTTTTTGGGACAATCAAAATCTTGTAGACCATCTAGACTTCAAATTTAGCTATAGAATGTGATGAGTCGACATCGAGGTATCAAATAACTCTATCGATAAGTTGCACGGCTCTGTGATATATTACAAAATCTAAAATTACTAAATTATAATTACTCAATACATTGCATTTCGCTTACTTTTCGAGCATCTTTGGTAAGTTGAGAGGGACACGACCAATAAAAAAGAGATTCAAACAAAGACAAAGATGATAAGATACCGATAGAACGCAATAAATGCGACCGTGTGGTATTTGAGATACTTATTATGGATAGAGATGTTTTCCTCTATTTGTTATGTTGGTAACAGCTAATATAAGACACTCGCCGCGGTGTGAATTGTGATCTGTCTTGGGCCATAACACACGTGAGGTTCTTACCAAACGAATTGGCAATTTGGGCATTGGCCCCACGTTTTTAATTCAAGTTAAGCTACTTATTTGACTTATCAACACAACATGGTATGTGTATTATGGAACAAAATTAATGTTTTAACTTTAGAGTAAAATAATTTGAAGTTAAGGTGCTTTTGGACCTTCCTTGGCTTATAAACAAAACATGGAATGTATATAAAGGGACTGTATGACGTAGATTTTTTAGAATAAATTTTGTAAAAAGTGATATTTTTATAGAATATGTGGTTAAAAAATAGAAAAAGTTACGAGTCAACATGCAAAATAATTTTATTGGAAAAATGTGTGGTTGATAATAAATTTTAAAAAATCAGTACGAAACATGGGCTGAAAGATTAAAATAAGACTTTTCCCAACATGTACTGGTCCGGTGAGTTATCGGGTTCATGAAGTCATGAAAGATGTGTAAAAGCATATTCAATTGTAGTATAAAATAAATCTAAATTATAATTTAGATATTCAAAGTGGTCAAAAACTATTCCAATAGAAAGATGCGAAGGAAATGCAAATTTCATTTTTCGACAGAATAAAAAAAAAAGTGATTTGCATATTTTTTACATTCACAAGAAGTAAAAAGTGGATTTAGATCTTCTCATTGAAGTAAAATTTGAATTTAGATCCATCAAAATGTAAATGATAATGTAAAATTGATTTTGAATATATTAATTTACATTCAATTTTATACTATCATTAGAGATGCTCTAAAATAGCATTATTGAATGCGGAGTTAAAAATTGGGGAAAGTTATGAAGAAACATGAAAACATTTTTTGAACATGTATGACTGAAAATGGGTATGAAAAATAAGTGATTATCAAATAATCAAAATCGAATAAGTACAAAATAAACATCGAGTAATATATAACAAAATAATCTAACACTTTAGTCTGACTCATCATCACATGTACTAAGGAGGGTGAGTGTCGTGAGTCACCAAGTTATCGTACCCTTTATTACAAAAGGGGATAATGTTTAGACTTTATTTTGATGAACAATGCTAGAGAAATAGGGTTAATGACAGGACAAAAAAAAACAGGGAAACTCGTGGTACACACTGATTGGAAAGTTAGAAAAAATAGGAAAAAAACGACCACACAGACGCTGCCACATGCACCCTGTCCCAATCCCTGTTTCAAAACCTTGTTTGAGTAGATTAATTGTTATTTTGATAGTCCATGTCGTTCTCAACTAAGCAGTGAAGTAACACCGGGAAGAAAAACATTTGTTATTAAAAAATAAAAAGGACAATTTATTAATGTTACATCATATTAATATCTCTACTGACTATATTAAATATTTATTTGTGTTAGAAACAATTTTTTTTTTGCCTATTAGACTATCATATAAGTTTTCATTAATTAAAGTTATTGACAAAATAAAAAATAATTAAGTGATGAATTCAAACTAAATGAAATTTCACGATCAAATTAAATTTCGCTAACACTTATCAACATGATTCATGTTTGAATATGTGAGCAGTGACGGAGCCAGCACTCGACGATGCCCTTGGCCGTCGATGCTAGGTCTGTCAAGACCAGACTATAGATGCAGTATGTTGGGTTCTGATGGCAGCATTTCCTTTAGAACTTGAATTGATATCTTATATATAATGATTTGTGATTTAGTATTGTGATTTGTAAATTGTGATTAATGATGATTTATTAAGACTGTAATTTGTGAATATGTGATTTATTAAATTTGTAATAATACTCTTTGAATTTTTAACTTCTTGTTGTTGGTATCTTGTTGACTTTGTGTTATAACTTATAACTTCTATTAAAATGAAGTTTCTAATTGTTGATAATTCAAAATTAAGTTTCTAAAATTTACATTTAATTTTCATATAAATTATGTTTTAGAACATGTATAGATATTTATTGAAGAATTTTTAATATTATTCAATTAAATATTAATGAATAATCTTGCAATTGCGATCATTGACAGTCAACGATCAACGGCCTTCCTAACTCCCGATATTCCTAGATCAACCACTGTATATGAGTATACATGATGGGCATACTTGTTAAGTTGAACTTAACTGAAAAATGAAGATATTTATTTATCATTTATTCAATTTTATTCAGCCTAACTTGTACAAGAAAAACGCTTTTAAGTAATTATCTTCTTTTTTATAAAATTGAGGGTAAATATCAAATATTATATCAATTTGCGTGGGTGAAGAACTTTGGAGGGTGGGTGACATGGCCCATTCCGCACATGGGAGTGAGCCCTCTCACCCTTTTCTCTGCTCCAATAAAGCTACGCACATGCTTTTCTCCGTTTTGACTTTTTCCTCTAATTTGTTTGGCTGCCATGTTGGACAGAAAAAAGTGAAAAATACTCCTCAAGAGACTACACCCAATGATGACCTGCTGATTAGGTCATTGCTATTATTTTGCTCAATATTATAATTCATCGCATTAGTATAATCCATTAGGTCATTGCTACCATTTTGCTCAATATTATACCCACTTTACGAGAATGTTCCAACATCGACTTGTACATGATATCTCAAACTTTGATACCAATTGATATAAAATATTATCCATAAACTATAACTCATAGCAGATGTAAAACTATCTGTATCACCCAGAATAAAGTTTAAGAATATACCCCAAGTCCACTTCCTTCGAACCAATTCTCATTTCAAACATGCTCATTCCTACATTACATTATTATTTATCTTTTTAAAAATGATTTTTAAGTAAATATTTGTGTAATATAATTTTAACTTAGGCATGTTCTTCGTGTCATTTTCTTTTACATTCTCAAACCACTTGCCTTTTGTGTTTCACATTTTCCTTTGTGTTGTATCGTTTATACCATGTTGTGTGATAATATCCTTTATATCGCATGCTTTAGAGGAGTGTAGGAGAATTGTTTAGCGGTTCGAGGGACTCTTGAACTACTTTTAAGTTTGTATTAAACCCCTATTTAATGGTCATTATAAATAATAATTGAGAAGAAACAATGTTTTGAATACTGATTTTACAGAGAATGAGTTTTTAAAAATAGAAAAAAAAATTGGATTTACGTACAAAATATTTTATTGTAATAATGTATAATTGAAAATAAGTATGAAAAATAAATAATTTTAAGTTTAAGAGAGTCGAAAAGAGCTAAGAAACATAAAAAGGGGAGGATAGGAACACCGCGCAAAAAGGGTTGTAAAGTTGGAAGCTAGCATGAGAGTGAAGAAAAAGATAAAACGAGAAAGATAATGTTATTATCATAGTGTTTTGTCAAATTGAGCCAAAAAAAGACTCTCCAACATCCTCCATATACCAACGCCAACAAAACATTTCTCTATTTTAAAACAGTCCACTTTGATTAGAATTAATTTATTTACATTAAAAACAATATTTTCCTAACATAATTAAAAAAACAAAGAGTTAACTATAGTACGATGTTAAGCTATATAAATAAAATTCAAGATTAGATAAATGATTATTGTCCCAATGCACTTAATCCAATTAATGAAAATATTGAATTTTTTTATTTAATTAAACTTATTTCTCAAAAAAAAAAATGTCACACTTGTTGATGGATACTACTCTGTATTTCTGTCTTTAGTATTTTCTTTATTTTTTATTTTTGAATATTTATTAATGTAACTTTTGTGATTGCTGGCAGCCTGGCACGTTTATTTTTATTTTTATTTTTTTAAAAAAATAAAATTAAAAAAGCAAGTACAACCAAAAGAGAGGCAAAGGAAGCCAGCTAGCTGCTCTGTCGCATGGGCTCGATGCAATAATGCATAACATTATTGCCATATAATTACGTCACTCGCCCGACAGGCTGGGGCTATTTCGACAATCCACACCCTCCACGTGGTAGCATCTCAGCCGTCCAAATGTCTAGGCTGAACAAATTTCTTGCCAATATATCACCACACGTTTCAGCACCACTCTCCTTTTTTCTTACTTCTTACCTTTCTAAATTCGCCTTTTCTTTTTCTTCCAGTAATCGCTCGAACAAATTTTCAGAAGTGCACGCGAATTTGAGAAAGAAAAGAGACATAATTAGGTTTATAGGTGAAATTGTGGAGAAATGAGGAGCACAATGGGTGATTATGATGAGACGGAGCTGCGGCTGGGTTTGCCCGGAGCCGGAGGAGGTGGAAATGAAGGAGAGACATCCAGGAATAGTAGCGGGAAGAGAGGATTCTCGGAAACTGTTGATTTGAAATTGAATCTGAACTCTAACAGTTCTGATGGAAATAAAGTTGAGGATATGAAACAGAAGAATTTAATTCCGGCTTCCACTGATTCTGCTAAACCACCTAACAAGTTAGTAACCGTTGATATTTTTTCTTTAGATTTTTGTTCAGAATAATGTTATTCAAGTAGAGGAGGATCCAGAATTTACGGCTTTGAGCATGCTTAAAAGTTACTTTGCGGAAAATTAAGTTAAACCTTATTTGTTATTGAAAAAGTAACATCTGAAAATCATGATAAGATAATTACAATAATATTTTTTAAGCAATTTCTAGGATCCTTTGTTGAGTTTATGCGTACATGATATTTAATGGATTTTTTTGGCTAATTATGCCATTTTTGTTTGGAATACCCCGTTGTTGATACAATAACTATCGAACTGCTGAAACGGAAAAAAATCGTTTACCCAATGCTATCGCAAATTTGAATTCTTGCTACACTTGAAAGAAGCATCATTTACTACTTTCTTGTTTTGAATTAATTGATTTTTTTTTCCTTATTAGATGAAACCCCCTATTTTCCGGTTGTTTCTTTGCTTTTTTTTTTTTTTTTCTTTTTTAATACAGAGGGTTATCGTACTATTTGTATTTATTCTCAAGTGATAAGAAATCATGTTCACTTTTAAAACCTGACCTCCTGTTCACGTGCAAGTGGGCTTGATAATATCCTGGATAACCCAATAAACAACAAAAACATATGGAATCTTACCTTTTTTAATAATTTTTAGTGGAGGAGACATGCACCTTGAATAATTGTGTACTCGATAAAGCAAACATGATTAGATTTGGATAAGACACCACGAAGAGCTGAGATTGGATAGAATTAGACTTGGATCTATTTCTTAGTTCTGTTTAGTTGCGTCTAAAAGTATTAAATCTCAAATAAATAAAAGGTAATTTCGAAGCGCGTGTGAAGTATAAAATTTACGTACCATCGACTTGAACCAGCGTCTCTAAGTTTAGAACAAGTTGAGGGCGTAAAAGTTATTGGCCAAGAAGAGTCACTGTTAAGTCCCGTTTATCTAATCTGTATCATGTGGAGAGAAAAAATAAACTTCTGTACTCAAACTATAACAACTTGAACTGGTCTTTTTAGTTTCTATTTACACTATTTCAGAAATTCGGTTCGCCCCTCAAAAATGCTTGAATCATGTTGAGCTTCATTCCCAGTAAATTTGGAGTCGTCCTTTTCTTCATTAAACTCAATCTATAGTAAATCAGATATATTGAAAACTTATATTGGTAAGATAAATGATAGTATATTTACAAAAGACGTCTGAAATTTCAGGGCCCAAGTTGTGGGTTGGCCGCCAGTTAGATCATTCAGAAAGAACATTATTTCCGTCCAAAAGAACGCCACCGCCAGCGATGACAACAAATCAGGTGGCAGCAGCATGGCGTTTGTGAAAGTCAGTGTAGACGGCGCACCGTACCTCCGTAAAGTGGACTTAAAAATGTACCAGAGCTACAAACAACTATATGATGCCCTAAGCAAAATGTTCAGCTCATTCACCATTGGTAAATATATAAATATAAACACAAGGAAATAATGATATTCTTTCAACGTTTACACAAAATATATGATCAAAATTGTAATCTCTGAGTCCTAACAGAAAATCGCTGCACTTGATATTAGGTAATTGTGGTTCTCAAGGACTTAAAGACTTTATGAATGAGAGTAAATTGATTGATCTTTTGAATGGTTCTGATTGTGTACCTACTTATGAAGACAAAGATGGAGATTGGATGCTCGTTGGTGATGTTCCATGGGAGTAAGTTGTTCCTACATTTTCAAGTTTCTTTTGTTTGCTTCTTACTTTTTTACACAGTAATTATCAAAATTTAACTCTGTGAATTACAAACATTTAACGCATATTCCTTTTCTAACCAGGATGTTTGTTGATTCTTGCAAACGCATACGTATAATGAAGAGTTCAGAAGCCATTGGACTAGGTATTGCCCTATAACTACTGAATGTAGATAATTGATTGGATGAAATTGAACAGAAGTAGACAAGATTGATGAAACTGTTTAGCCCTAGTCGAGTGTACTTGACATGCCCTTTAAAGCTTGGCAACTCGCCATGTACATGCCTGATAAAAATTTTATAATTCCATTTATCGTTGTAAAACAAATTATACAGAGTCAATCTGACTTTATTTACTGGAAAGCTAAACCAAAGAATTATACTCTTTTGAACTCCAATGCAGCACCAAGAACAGTTGAAAGGTGCAAGAACAGATGCTGAAACCATTTCCTGGAAATCCTTCACCATAGGACCTAGCATGGATGATCAAATGATGGCTGGATCGAGCAGGACCAAGCCTCGTGATTGATTATGTCTGTATTTCTGTTGGATCCAGTATATGTATCTATATAAATATGTATATACTGTTTCTTTAGGGAAAAAAATGCATAGTTGAATCCAACTCGACCATCTTTAGATTGTTCATGACAGCCTTGCTGGAATAGTTTTGTAAACATTCAGTTGTATTTTATTCTCCACAAATTTGGTTGCCCTTCTTATTTTTGTATGCAGATTCTCTGCGTGTATCACTTCTCTTATAATTAATGAACTGATGATTATTATGCAAACAATTCATAGGTGCATTGAAGCATTTTCACTTAGAAGTGTTTGTATATAGTCCACTTATACGAAGGTGGGTTTATGGGAAAATCGCACTGATGGCCCCCACCTCACGGGAATGGTAGCTAGTTGGTCTCCAACCTAAGTAAGGGAGCAAATTCATCCCCAGTTTACTGAAATAAGTGCCTCAATAATTCAGATGTAATCAAGTTAGTAGCAATTGGAATGAATCAGAAAGTTTTGCAATTATAGCATTTGCCTCACAATTAGAACTTGCACTTTATGCCAGGGGTATGGAGATGCTTTAGTGTCTTGGTTTGTTCAATGACTGCAAGTCCTGTCTCTCTTATTTACTACTTTTCTGGGTGCAAATAATGTCATCGAGTTTAAATATGTCAGAACAGTTACATAGTGGATGACCCAAGTGGGTAATGGTTTTCTTTTTCGAAAAAGAACGATGAAATTGGTGTTCACTGCATGGACATTGAGATTTTAGAGATGAGAGGAGTATAAGGAGAATTTACTTTTAATGGAAAGATATCTTTTATTTCCTTGGAGGAGTTTGATATTTTAGCACAAAACGCTTTAGGAATTAAGTTGTGATGAAGTGAGACTGATGGAACAATTGCTGCTGTTCTTAAAGTTCTGCATCAGATCCACAGTTTAAGAACTTCAAGTTCTGCTGGCCTGGTATGCGAAAACACCACATATCAACTGCAGTTAAATTTTTCATTATCTTCAGTTGTACCAATAAGGATCTACTCATGCAGGAACACATGGACTATCTAGAGTGCCAAGATGTGAGACAGGTAAATTTTCCGTATAATGACTAAAATCTACTCCGTCCTATGGGCCGTGTTGTGTGGTATGTTTGTTAGTTTACCTACCCATATATTTTTCCTTGTTATGTTTTCCTTTGTTGAGGATATACCACTGAAAATGATAGTTTTCCGACTCTGGGTGGGTGGAGCAAGAATGAATTGAAATGCACTCTCTCGATTGCTAACCTCGTAAAAATCCCCAAAAAATATGCCAATAAACTGGCCGAGGCTTGGTCTCCAATTTAAGGTTACTCTGTTATCAGCTGTTGTCTATTCGCGTTAATTAGTTCACTCAAGTTCGAGTATGCTTCAAAGAAGTATAAAGCATTCTTTGTAGCCTTGGTGATTCCATCGTTTTTTTCGTTAGTTTATAGATGCATTTTTAGTTTAAACTTTTAGTAAAAGAGCAACTACACAAGTTAACTGTTTAATCAACATTTTCATGTGTGCATTAGATTGATCTATTGTTAGAATATGTGCATGACTGGCTCCAGCTCAAGCAGCTCACGTTCCCAGCATGTTCAGTAGCTCATACTAGCCTCTTCTAGATCCTTTTTTCAGCTATTAGTTTGTTAGATTTTACTCTATCAATAGAGTAATGTATTTCCATTATCACTTGAGCATTTGATGAATAATATTTCTGGTGTATTATATAACTCTTGATATAATCCTTGATATACATATAGCAAAGTTCGTTACATTTCTAACGAGTTTCTTAATTCACACTCAGTTATAAATAACCAATATAATTATCCGTTACGTGTAAGAAATTTCCTCCAAACAATTTCACAAACCCTTCTATTTCCCACATCCTTTGACTTACCTAAAATATATTTCAAATTTTTACACAATTTTTTGTTGACATTTAGTCTAAAGATATTAACTTTTCTTGCGCAGAAGGACCATTATATTATCAACATTGAGGAACAAACCTACGAAATATTTTATCTACAAGAAAAACTAAAACGGGGTATTTGCTTTATTTTACTGCCATGGGGTACAAATTGCTTATTTTTGAAGTATGAGGAGCATTTTGAAATTTTTATAAAATATATTTTCAATTTCAGTCCATCATCCTACCACTGTTGTAGGGCGTAAGAATTTCTCTCCGCCCCGCCGCGCGCAGCCGCCGACCAACCACAACCATAGTACAACAATGCCCATAAACTCATACTCTACTTACGGCGCCACATCGACTCGTACCCCCGCCACAAAACCTCCTCTCCCACCAGCTTCACCTTCCTTAGTCTCTCGCGCCCGATCTTATTACGATATACGCCGCCCATGGCGCGCGTTTTTCGACATCTCCGCCTTTTCTCTCCCCTTCAGCTACGCCGAGGCGATGTCCCGTATCCGCCACAACCTCAACCATTTCCGCTTCAATTACGCACTTATCGTCCTTTTCATCCTCTTCTGCAGTCTAATCTACCACCCCATTTCAATGATTGTCTTTTTAATCACCTTCGCTGCTTGGTTTATCCTCTACTTCTTTCGTGACGACCCACTTGTCGTTCTCAATAAGGTTGTGGATGATCGGATAGTTTTGGTGGGTTTGAGCCTGATTACTGTAGTTGCACTAGTTTATACTCATGTAGAGTTGAATGTGCTTGTGGCATTAATCATTGGGTTTGTTGTGATCAATCTTCACGCTGTTTCTAGGGGCATTGAAGACTTGTTCTTGGATGAAAGTGAGGCAGCCGAAGATGGATTGCTCTCAGTTGTTGGTGGGGAGCAGCTGTATCGCCCAAGTTAGAGATTTTGTAAGCGATTCTTTCGATTTGACGGGAAAGAACTGCTTCTTTTAGTTTTGGATCTACTGTGAATTGAGTTCAAGATTCAAAATTCATTTACTCCCCCTTTGATTTGCATGTATTCTGGGGATTGGAATTTGACGATTTCTTTTCATATTTTGAAGATATTTGGTTGCTTATGATTGGATTAGGGGAGCTGAGATCACCATTTTAAAGAGATTTATGCCTCTCTAATTCTGAAGTGTTGTTACTGAGAAATGGGAGCAGGAAACTTTCACTACTTCTCTTCCTAATTCTTCATCAATCTTTCGATGATTTGATGATGTTTGCTTTTGTCAATTGGTATTCTTACAGCTTCATTTTGTCGTTTCCTTGTTAAGCAGATATCAAAATGTTCTATTGAATTTCTTGATTTGACAGTGTCGAGTAGCTCTATTGATTTTTTCGCTCTAATCCAGTGTGCCTGAATGCATCCTCAGTAAACAATTCTCGATCCATCTATTCCGTGTTCAAGGAGTATGAGGAGGTATTCATTGGGGGTTCACAGATTTCACTATCAAGAAGTGCTAAAATTGGTAGGCTTGTAAAACGCTGAATTTGGTGAACCAGACTCTTTTTTCTTGAATAATATATCAAATTATTGTCAAGACAAAGCACCAACACCACCAACTAAATAGGTTCATTTCGAGGACAAAATTGCACAACCATTCTTCAGCTTATACACTATCGGATTTATTCTAAGATTTTGGCTGCTCTGTACCGTGAAATTTTCTTCCAGCGTCAACAGCTTCCCTGAAAGCAGTTACGAGCTCTTTATTTTCAGGATCAAGCCTCACCCCCTCGTAGAAAGCATTGGCTGCTTCTTCAAATTTCTGCAATGGAATATGAAAAGTGATCATTTTTTTATATTAAAAGTTGGTTGCCAATGCAGAAAAGAAGCTTACCTGCATTAAACGATAAGCTGCACCCTCTCGATAGCAAGCCTTTGGCCAATCTGGTCTAAGACCCCTGCACGCCTTAGCATCAGCTAAAGCATGATCAGCTTGGCCCAGACGAAGCCAGCAAAGACTTCTATTAGAATACAGTGTAGCATCAGTTGGGTCGAAATCAACAGCCTGCAAATCCATAAAACGAACTTTAACACGTAGATAAATAACGCAATAGTATTCACTGTAGATAATATCTTCACCGTGACAAGGTCAAGTACAGTGCGCATTGTGATTGATGGTGAAAGCCCACATCTGTCTCATTTCGAAACAACCAGGTCAAACTGAACTTATAAATTCAGTCTCTACACTAACAGAGAACAATTTGACAATCACTTTCTTTTTTTGTGGGGGTACACGAAGACCAATTAATAAAAAGTAAAGTCGTGCAATTATTTTTCACGAGACAAAATAAAAAGACTTAAACGACGTGTAAATGAATACTCAGATGAGAGAGGGAGTGAGAAGATAACATGAAATATGTAAATTTCTAGACCACGAAAAACAGTTTTCAGTACCAAGACATAGTAAGTCTAAAATTTTAGATTCTAATGTAGGTTAGCTTATAATTTCTAGGCTAAGCACTAGAGAGAGAGAGAGAGAGACAAAAAAATGAAAAAAGAATCAAAACTGGATATATATAAAGCTAGTGAAGAAAACAAAACCCGAACCTGTGTATAAGCATCAACTGCCGTCATATAATCCTTCCTCTTAAAAGCCTCTTCACCCCTTGCCTTTGCTTCAGCAGCTTTCTTCTTGGCCTCTGGTGTTACCTGAAAGGAATCATTAGTGAATAAGTCAAAAAATTAAAAATTAAAAACTGGACTCAGAATCTGTCTTCAAACCAGTGTCAGCAACAGAAAAGCAATTAGGTACTTAACGAGAGAAAATTGGACGACTTGCGGTTAAATTGTTCAAAGACTCCTGGGGCAGACCTTGTGTACAAGAACAAGTCACAGCGCATTCTATTCAAATTCTGGACACCTAGACGTGTTAGGAACTTCTAGGGGACACGTTAAAAACTTTCAATGACGCACAAGGACAGGAGATGCTCGGGTAGGGACCCATTCGAGGACAGTTTTGAGATCAAGTCATTCATAGGAAAAGATAGAGGCTTAGTTATTATATGACAAGCTTCTGGTTCAAGGAAGAGAAGTAAAAAAGGAATAAAAAAAATTAAGAAATGTAAGAGGCAAATTGTAAAGAGAGTAATTACTCACGGTTTAATGTATATTTGGTGACCACTAACATTGTTTGGCTACACATAATGTGTGCATTGAGATTGATCGACTGTTCTTTTTCTCATCTTCGATTTACCTATATTAATAGTTGCATATCACTCTTGGTCTCCAATGTTTCAAGTCACACAACTTCAATTTAGGAACAATGATCTGTGTCTTTATTACATCAGCTTAAACTTTATTTCATATTACAAGATATGAATCCGATATTCAATATGTCCCTAAACTAGCCTCTTAACTTCCATTTAGCTAACTAATTTCTCAAAAGTCTGTAACTTTTTTATTTGGTATGTTTCTATAGCATTAATTTTAGCCTTATACACCATCTGAACCTTCTCATTCCACCAATATGCTTCCTTATTAGATGGGCTTCTACCCTAACGACAAACCATAGACCCTTATAATAACTCATTAGTCATTTCTTATGCAGCTAACCAACTCATTTCCTTAGTTCAAAACTCTATCTTAAAAACACAAGTATTTCACCCTTATGTTTTTACTATCTCGTTTCATTAAACATGAAACTCTATATTCTTTCTTTTTCACTTGTTAATAACCGAAACATGCACCAACGTATACTATATAGTTTGGCCATCCGTAGCAATCACCTCATGATACCTGCACAATGAATTATCCATCCTCCCAGTCAAAATGAAATCTTTTTAACTGAACTTTCACCCACTTGTAAAAGATATTGAGTGAGGGTATCTTTTGAAACACGTGTCCGTTCAACATGAAATAACCACAAGGTAGAAAATAATGTTTGTTCTTCATTCTATCTGTAAACACGAATTGCCATTACTCTTTCGGACCATAAATACCTTTTGCAAATGAAAATGTCTCATCTAACAAAGATCTTATATTGACTAGGGTCCCATTGAAGACATATAAATATATTTAAATCCCCCCATATCCACACAGAGAGAGGGGGGGAGATCCAAGAAAAGTTATCAAAAGTAGGTTATCAAATGTTTAACCTTTTTCATATTATGTCCCACATGACCAACCAAAAAAATGAAAGTGGACCGATGGATAAAGAGAATCATAAGACAATGAAAACTATTTCAGAAAAATATGAAACAAATTTAAAGAGAAACCTATTCTTCATCAAATAGTCCGTTCACAGCTAGTATAAGAATATTAAAAGACGAACCTTGGGCACATCTAGTTTTGGAGGTGTAATATCCTTCAACTTGTTGGATTCCCTCGAAGCTTCTACTTCTCCCTGATTTTATTCATTAAATATTTAGCATGCCCAAAACCTGAGAAAAAAAAGTAAAGAAACGGGGCTACTTTGCAACCCTGAATAAACTGGGAGCTATTATGAATGCTTAATAAAAATCTATGCTCGTTTCTCTAAAAGCGAGGCTTTTAAGAACAAAAACAGTTCAAGAACTTATGAGAAGACTAACCCACTGCAAATAATTAATTGGAATACCTGTTTTCTCTCATTTTCAGATTGCACGTGTCCAAGAATTCCGTCAACACTCCACTCTGGAACATTTTCAATTTGCGAAGTTACAGGGAAAAGAATCTTAACTGCCTCCTTGTTACCTCTTGCAGCTGCCACCTGTATAGGCTTTAAATTATCCTGCAGGGAAGAAATTCAATCATTCATAGCAAATTCAGTTACACTAACTGCACATATCTTTGTAACATTAGATGCATCGAACTTGTCTTTCCATGCTCTCTTGACTTACCTGAACCAAACCCTAGCGTGCATCAGCTAATGGGGTCTTGTTAGAGTCGGAAAATTTGGTGAAAAATATATGACAAAATGTGTAATTAAGTACATTCCTTCCACCATTAACAAAATAGATTTTCAATGAAAACAAACATCTTCATGAATGTTGATGAAGGTTCAAAGGAAATCAGCTAGCTGAGCAGTAATTATAAAGGGAACTTTCATAGATTATGGAGTCAATTCAAAGTGAATGTAAAAACAGCAGCAGCTTGATCTATAGAACAACAACCAACACTTTAACTCTTTTTCTTACTAATTTCTGGCGATGTGTGATTAGGAATTACATGTATCTTTTCTACCCAACATATTAGATATACATTCGGTACGAGTCAGTGACAGAGAGATCATATATCAAAGAAAGATATATGACGGTATTTTCTAACTTATCCTGTAGCAATATTCTGCTTGAACCTTGAAAGGTGAACACAAAAGACCAAAAAATATCTAATTTAAAACTTGTAATGTACAAGTAAAATACAAAAACTTTTGCACATAATATGCAAATGTTACCTCGTCTGTGGCATTGGGATTTGCTCCAGCTTGCAATAAGCAGTTTATGACTTCTGGGCTACCAACATCAGCAGCAATGTGCAGAGGCGTTGCTCCACCAGCAGTAATATTCACATGGGCGCCTGCCTGTATGAAAAAAGAAGAAAGTGTGTATTGTCCAGTGCAGCAGAAAAGATCCCATTTAGTCATCAGATATTTTCAATCTGATAAATACATTATATGAATAATATCAAATAATGACACAATGCCCCTGATGGAAGTAGATCTGACATCAGAATGAATAAGAGACTGAATATATCCCAAAAATGAAATATATCACCTACCAACTTAACATAATTGTGTGCCAAACACAGACAGCATTTGTTTTAATAATAAAAAATAAAAAAATCTGCCAAACACCACATATAAGTCTTTACTTTTACTCTTCCAAAAAGAAGAAGACCATTATTTGATTCTCGATTAACCACCTTACAGCCAAAAAGAGCATCAATTCAGAACATTCATGTTAGCCAAACAGCTAAGATATTAAAGCTCGTCGTACTAATAACATATATGAGATTCACAGAAAGAAAGACCACATAGAGACATTTACACAGATCCGTGCAATAAGCTTGTGCCTAGGAAACATATGGGCAAACACTGAAAAAAAAAAAAACTCTCCTTGCTTGAAACTCATAGCTTTCTCACATATACTTATGTTGAAATACAAAGGAAAAATCATTTAAGAATGACACTTAGAAAAGAGCAAAAAAGAAATCTTTGTACTTTGAGAAAAGAAAAATGTTTAACAAAATTTGTGCTACAAGAGAGATTATTGAGTTCCCAAATGAAAAAGATGTAGCTTTGGAACATAACTCAAAGCCAATATGCTTTTTAATATTTTTCAATTTTTATAAAAGAAAACATGGTTTCTTTTACTTCCATGGATTAGGAAACCAATCCCTCGTAAGTGATGCATGTCCTGAATACAGGAATCATAGGAAATTGAATCTTGATTGCAACTGAACATTGAATGAAGAGTCATGTTCTATTCCAATTAAAACTAGTGTCATTTAGAACATTAAGTTCGTGAGATCAAAACCAAATCTTTTATCAAATGCCCTAGAAATAGCATGATCCTTTATAGATGGCTGATGTGTCAACTAGGACAAATAGAAGGGATAAAAAGGTGAATGCATGGGCCGTGAATCATTGCAGGTGGTAAATGCAAACAATATATCGAAATGCTAGTAGACCGCGGTATAATAGATGATGGCATCCAAATTAGTAATGTACCAACAAGGAATAGAGAGGAAGTTGGTTAACCTTGATTAACAACCCCAAACATTGTAATGAGCCTGCTGCAGCAGCTGATAATAGAGGAGTAACATCATCTTCAGTTTGAGCATTGGGCTGCAAAAAGAAAAGGGAACAGACTAAGAATACAAAAGTACATTTAGTCTTCAAATTGAAGAAAGTGATGCATGTGTCCTATGGTTTAAAGCAATTTAAACCACAGTGCAAGAAAGAAACACTGAAATATACTCACAGTTATATTTGGAAAGGAAATTTCAAAACTATCTTCAAGGAAAATATATTTCCAGTATGTTCATTTTTTCCATTCGACCATACATTCATACATTCATACTCACAGATTCCAGTTTATAATGTACAACTAAACAATGATTAACAAAAAGTCCACTATAAAAGGGATTGCAGAGATCACATAATTGACAAAGTTGGTATATTCACAGCATGTTTGGCAGCAAAAGAAGACTCAATAACATATGGCTTTCTTATCAGACATTATCCTTGTGTAACCATCAGCACCAGAATCAATAATACTATTTACATCAACGAATAGAACAAACTAGGATAACATCGTTATAAATAACAGATATAGAATATAAGGACCTCGTTCGGGCTTGAGGTTATTTCATTGATTGGATAATTTTAGATATCTAGGACATGAAAATATCAAACAAGATAAGGGAGTTTACATCATTTCATGTTCCAATATGAACCTTGAACCAAGATCGATTTAATACATGGATTTAATATATCAAAAGATAGAATTGATGACTTGGTGATAGAATATACTACCAATGAAGTTTGTGCTAGCAGATTAGACTCAAAATCAAATATCTAAAAGTAACGGAAAAAAAGGGAAATGTCTACAAATCCTTTCATAACAGATAAAGGAAAGAAGTTTGCAAAGAATCCAATTAAAAAGAACCCTTTATTGACAAGACAATAGGATGATCTCATGAGGTTATAACAGGAAGCAGATTTAGCTTGGAAGATGCAATGGTTTATTTCTTGGAATGACAAATGGTTTCTACTCGGGGAAGAAGGGTGTTTTTATGTAAAAAAACAATTGTATCGACTACTTTCCGGGTGACACGGACAGAAGAAAAATTGCAGGACTTTGAAGGAAAAGCGCAATATGCTATGGTCTATGGAAAAAGGATAACGTTCTAGCGTCATTACAGACACCTACAACTAACGAGTTTATAGGTTCTCTTGATATAATTATTATTGATCTTTTATTTGATTGTATAGAGGATATATGTCCACTTTTCAATTGTAAATCTGTTGCTCTAATTAACAAAATAACAGGTTCCTATCAAAAGAAAATGTACTTGATAGGGAACCATGCTAATGAATTCAGGTAAACACAGTCAATAGAGGACGCAAAGCCCTTGGAATCATGGAAATATCATCTATATGTGTATCTTCTCAACATTAATCTAATTTTCTACCCACTGGTAGTTTAACATCCCCTAAGATATATCTGCTATGGAGTTTGAGATAAGGTCCAGGTTCCTCTATGTGATGCGTGCATGTGATACTATGGAACAAGATGTAGTAGTTAATGGATGCATGTCCCCCAACAAAAACATCTATGGAGTAGAATAAGAACTTACATTAGCATTATGTTCTAGTAGCAATTTTACAGCATCTTGCTGGCAATGACCAGCTGCCCATATAAGTGGACTACCAGCATCACTTTGTAAATCAACATTTACACCCTTAGCAAGTAAGAATTTCAGTAACTCAATATCTCCTGCCGCAAGAATGCAAAACAATCAAATTCAGAAGGCAAATTTACAATAAACCTATATCAAAAGCCAAAAAAAAAAACTCCAAGTTCTCATAGTGGAACTTAAACTAACACCAAATTTGACTCTTATTTTCCCTTGCATTACCTCAGTGTATCTAGGAATAATATGTTCTGGTATTTTCATCAGGAAAACAAATAAAGAAGGAAGACATTTTACCTATTCCTGCAGAATGATGCAGAGCAGTGGCTCCTAATTCACTTGCTATCGCAGGATCAGCATCACACTCTACAAGGTATTTGGCAGTGGCTGTATGTCCTTGACGAGCTGCGTGGATAAGAGGAGTCTCGCCTGCAGATTAACAAGAAATGAAAAACAAACAAGAAGCAGTATTGTATAAAACTATGGGTATAAAACAAAACAGGGGCAACACCTAAAAAATGAATCTTGGCTATACTACCAAATTAAAGAAGAAAGTCAGTGGCAATAAAAAACTACCGTCTTCATCTTTCGTATTGACATCAAGCTTCAACTCCTCGAGCAAGTACTTGCACACCTCGGTCTGGCCCTCTCTTGCAGCAAAATGCAGAGCCCCTCTCTGGTTAGCATCCTTAACATCAGCTACTGTATGGGCCAATCCTTTTCCATCATCAAGTTGTTTGCCCAATTCTATGTTATATGAGAAAATAAAACACAAAAGATAAAAAGAAAAATATAAAATGAAGACTAGCAATCCAGGTACAGGGCATAAGATATAGAATCAAGAATTATATAAAAAAAAATCCAAGTTCCTAACTCTTGAGAAGGTCCAGATTTCCAGTCCGAGCAGCATTTAAGAATTTCTGAACTTTTTCCCTCACTGCAATCAAAGAAAAGTATCACCAATACTTGTTCAGAAAAGCGTGCACGTATATACAAAGTTTTATATATTCTGAAGGAAAGCAAACCTGCGAGAGCATCAGAAGCATCGGGAGTCATTATTGAAAAAAGAAGATTGCTAAAATCGAGTGTAAAAGTGTGTCTCTATGGGTTTTACAGAAGTTCTAACTCTTCTTGACGATGAAAGAATTTTCTTGGTGGCTGTGGTCTATGTGTAGACGAGGAGGAAGAAAAGGGTTTTGGACAAGCCCTGTGAACTTCAAGTTAGTAAAGGATAAAATTGCAGCGAAGGTCATCCAACTTACGTGTTTGTTTCGTGTTAGTCATTTCATTTGTTTAATTAGACTACACAAATTATATTTTCATTTCAATTTGATCACCTAACTTCTATTTTTTTTTTCAATTCTGCCAAAGGTTCGATTGCATTTTTCGTTATTGAACAATGTGGCAATATACACATGGTCACAAAGACATATGATGAATATCACTTTACATAAATAACATTACTTATTTTTTATTCCATGCATGCCGCTTTGAAATTTTTATTTTTCGAAATCAATAAACATGTGACATATATACTTTTTTAGTACTCGAAAGAAATTGTTTTAAAAAATATCGGAGTTACATCATGTGAATGTAAGCATGACCTTCGAAACACCTTAAAGCCTTTATTCACATTCAGTCATTCCTGGACTTGGAACCATCATCTGATTGAACTCGTCATGTCAAAGAATTGATCGTTGAATAAAGAAATCGACATATTAAGAATAAGGTTTCATTCTTTTCTTCATCGGAAGGAGGTGTTTATAAATTAGATAAATGCAAAAAATTAGTGATTGATAGTATTTATGGAATATTTGAACGTGGGATAAAAAGTAATTTGAGTGTTTCTTGAGTTTTTTCGCATCCTCCTAGTCGAGAATTTGGAACTTTGCAATCACTACTCGATAAACTTGTTATAGTACCAAAAAGCACCTCTTAACAAAGTGTAAATATTTGTACAATTTATATTCTATAGTAAATAATCCACAACCGTTTTGGGCTATTCTTGGATAGTAAGGTCACCATCTAATAACATCAAAACTTTGCTTACAGGCTTAGTTCGATAACTTTCGAACATAATTACCATGCATTGCCTGTATTGACAGGACTGGATGACATAACAAATAACAGTTTTTTCTTCAACACGACTCACAATTATCCGGTCTACCTTTCGAACTGGCTTTTATTTTCGGTACTCCACGATGCTTGGCTTCGAGTTGAGCCGATATTCTGGAGTGACATGTAATTAATCGAGCCACTTTAATCTCAAAGTTTGATCTCTTTCTCCAACTTAATTTCTGTACAAATTAATTTGATATTTGTTCACGAGGACTGCATAACAGAACAGGCCACTGCTCGTGCCCAATGCCTCAACTTTTGCTTCACCTGTTGAGGATCATCACCTGCACCATGAAATTATTTTTAATCAGAAATCTAGTCGGTTTTGTCGCATTCGATACCATGTTAAACTATTTCATTAATCCGACCTGGACTGCAAATCTTCCAATCAGAATCGCTCCCCGGGCTAGCAGACGAGGACCGGCCTCCAACCAACACGGAAGATGGTGATGGAGGGCCTCTGGGTGACGGTGCTGAGCGGCTGCTGGCGGGGCTCGGGATGGGACTCGTCAAGAATTGGCGGTTCACCGCAAAATAAAGGTCTAGGGCAGGGATCGTGTCGCATAGCCTTTGTCCGTCTTCTTCATTGAACCCGAACCCGAGCTCTATGCATCCTTTTAACTCATTGAGATCCTCATCCGTCAAGTCATCCGTTTCGTGGATACCATTTCTCCTCCGCTCTTGCCGGAGAAACTGTTGGCGCCGCTTCTCCCATGCAACATTTTGCGGGGCAACATACACAGATAGCTGCTTGGACAATCTCTTTTTTAACTTGGGAGTCCTCCAGAAAGGCGGCGTGTGCTCTAAATTCTTCAGCTCCTCGGTTTCCGACTCATGAAGTGGCATCTCTTGATCCCGTGGCTCTCCCATCTAAACTTTGTTCTCCAAACGAAATTTCAAATTGGAAAGAAAGAATTCAAAGGGAAATTAAACAATGCAAATGGTGAAAATGTGAGCTTTTATTTAACAAATAAATTCAGTTTTCACACGTCGTTTCAGACGTTGATCGGCGACCAGGGCGGAGAAGCTTTCAACCGCCCGGGCCAGCCACCGCGAAGTGGTGGTGTAAGGGGCCTGGTTGGGGTGGCAAAGGAATAATCTTTGTTGAATGACACACCAAACCGACCAGTGGGAGCATACTAGAGTTTGGAGGGGTTGAAATGGGAGGATTTGTAAAGGGATGCCCGTCCATAGCGCCTTCTGTTTCTACACTTCTTCACCGTTCATTTCTAACTGTCCTTTAACCTCATAATTTGCCTTCATTTTTTTTGTTGAATTTGTTCTAATAATAGAAATTCCCCATCGCCAAAATCACAGTCGCGAGCCTCTATAAGAATCGAGGGGAAGTCATTTCATTTTTCGAACAAAAATGTTCAATTTCCAGGAAATATTCAACTTCGCTGTTGTTTTTCAGGAACTAAATAAAAAGAAAATCAATCTGCAGAAGTGAAAGTGAAAATTCAAAACTGAATCTAAAATGGCCCAAAAAATTTCATTTTCTCATTGATCTAAAGCAAATCAAGAACAGAGAACTGACCCATAAAACAAGACAACTAAAATTATAATTCGTTGTGAATCTATACTATATAATAATAATAGAAGATATCTAAGATCCCAAAAATTCATAACCCAATAAATAGTATAAAAAATCACAAACCCATTTCAATTTCATCACCAATGGCAGATCTGTTGATTGAAGCACGGAATCATGGTACCGTCATTCTCTTGTGCCTCTTCGTCACTGATTTTCCCTTTTTATTCAATTTCTTTTTCTCATTCTGTTCACGTTCTTCCTTCAAGAATTCAGCAATTGTAAACCCATCGAACTTCAATTCTCTTCTTCTTCTTCTGATCATCACGCGTCGTTGAATGTACGGGTATCCCACAACAGACCCAGCAGTCACTTGATGAATCGCCTTCACTAGTAGATCGAGGCCGTGGCAGCGTCTAGTAGCCATCGAAGTTGATGGGAATGGACATGAACTTGACGAATCTTGCGATGAAACTGAAGAATTTATGGTGATTGATGAGCCAGAATAAGGCGGGGAAGAAGATGCAGCAGGCGAAGAACATAACGATGAAAAAGAAACAGAACTTGCAGATGATTTTCCTCGAATTCTCATTGGAAACTATTTGAGAAATTGATCAAGAAAATGGGATTTGATTTCGAAGTATGGGTTTTGTGACATAGAATTGTGAGAAGATTCAGATGTAGATGTAGATGCAGAAGCAGATCAGATAGAGAAAGTCCAATGATTGTAAATAGTTCTCGTGAGTGAATTGAATTATATGGGAAAGTGATGGACTTATTTTAACTGTTAAAACCCCAAAAAGGCCAGCTGTTTTGGACCTTTCTGTAGTATGAACGCTGATGGGAAACAGGTTAATTTTGCCGCGAATGGGTTTATAAGCTTTACTTACGAGTACGCAAGTAGATTATTTTTTATGGATCAAAATGAAAATTGAGTAGATTGGAATAAGAAGCGAACCTTTCTTTTTCGAAACGGCTTTCTCGATTCGACGGAGAAAAAACACTACTATGTAAACTATTGCATTAGTCGAGGCTTACTGATATAGCAAGAGATGAAAGATATTTTGAAACGAGCATAAGAAAAAGTAAGCCATTTTTATCTAAAAATTGCGGAATAGAGAAAGGGTCCCACGACGAATTTGATCGATAGAGGCACCGCTACCGACACTCAAAATCCCAAATCTTTGTTGGAATTTAGGTCGCAACATTGTGACTAATTTAGAGATATGAAAACAATAGCTTTATTAAAAGATTTCGACGTCTTTGAAAATGAAATAATTTTTTTTTATTTCAGTGTTTGAAGTACCTATGAGGCTCCTTCTCTACTTTTCGAAGAAAAAATATACTATTCCTTCAAATGTCTTTAAATTGTTGTATTAATTTTTCAAATTCAACCATATACATTAATCGAACATACCATGTCTTGACATTTCTAAGATTAATTTCTGTACATCCCCAAGGAATATATATATATTGTCAAAAAATAAAAAACACGTTCCTTGCACTCAAATTAAATGAGGCAGCAATATTTTGTACACGAGACAACTATGTTCTCTGATTGTCCAAACCTTATACCAGCCTCCCGATTCCCAAATCCGAGTGTAAGGCATAGGACTCGTCTAATTGTCCTTGAGACGCCAATCCTGGAAAAAAGCAAGCACTGTTCCCTTTACATGAAGTATATAGACCAATCGACAAAACCAGTTCCTTAGGACAATATTTCCAAGCAAAACATGGCTAGGGCATTTCTTATATGTCACACATTAAACATTATAAATTATAGAAAAATTATACAACTCAGAAATTGTACATCTCTTTTGACAAGTCACTGTAGAGGGGGAAAAAAAAAAGAAAAACATGATCACGACCATAAACATTCTGATCAATCATTACTACAAGTAAAACTAAAACTACGCAAGACTGGTAATTCTTCATGACTCAACACCAATATTGGCATTCCCCTTATCCGTGGCGTGGGAATTTTCTGCATTCACTTTCATTTGTTGTGGACGACCCTTGACTTTGCTCGTTGCATTTACATTGCAAACACCAACCCGACTCTTGCTTTTGGGAATTGTGCTTGTTGGAGAGGGTTTGCTTTCTTTGAAAACACCTATGCTGTGACGAGTTGTTCGTGCACAAGTTCCCTTTTCAACTGGAGATGATTTCACTGCATCACTGCAGCTCTTTCTCCGGTTTAGATTTGGTGATTTGGCACGGGTCACTGGCAGCTGAAATTCAACCAAAACAGGTATTTTTTTCTTTCCATCTTGTTTACGGAAATGGGAAATACAATCAATAACGGAAAACAAAGGTGGATTCTCCATGTACCTTCTTAAGTTCAACCTTTGGGGGAGGCCCTTCACGATAAAAATTAGGAACTGGATTTGCTTTATATGCCATGTTCTTTCTAAGCTGCTTTATAGCTGCTGCTTCTTCTTCCTGCAAATTAGGATAAGACGGACACATTTTATAATAACTAGAAAATTGAGAGGGAAAGAACGGAGAGCAATAAAGACCAACCTAATTAGATTTGCAATTAACATGCAAGACAAAAAAAGAACCAAAACTTAAAAAACAATGTTATCCGCCAGCGGCAATATAATGGGTGAAGAAAATTGGTAGAAAATCAGTGCCATGTAAGGAGAGGAGTACCTTGGTTCTTGATTCATATTCAAGTTTCTCTTGCTCCAACGCTTTATGTTTTTCCTCCAACTTAGTGTAAAACTATAGTGGAAAGTGGAACCAAGGTTAATAAAATAAAGGCTAAAAGAAAAAGAAACGAAAACAAGATCATAAAATGAACTTCATTGTGAAACTAAAATACCTCCTTGCGTCTCTCTAAACGCTCCATACATTTAAATGTTGGAGCCATCGGAACTGTAACTCTGGATTTACTACGTACAGATGTTGCAGTACTATGAACGATAAGGAGAACTCCAATTGCAAGAGCACATAAAATACAAGGCGACAAACAAACTTAAAATAACAAAGAAATAACAGATAACAGAAATTAATAATAATCTTAAACCCAGAAAGAGGATACGAGGAAGCCAAGGACCAATTATCATCGTCGTCATGATATTTCTTAACACTAGTATGCAGCGTCTTGCTTGACACAGTAGGAGAGTTCGTCTGAACAAGATTGGGGAATTGCCAACCTCAGTACTAAATACAAATTTCCAGCCCAACAAAATATCTCTATCTATTGCATAAAAATTTACGTCTAAACCTAACCTCAAGCAACATGAATCTACTACTAGTCAGACACCATTCCAAATTTAAAACCACAATTTTACATGGCCAATGTTGTGCCAATTAATGCTTCTAAACTTATATGCAAGAAGGGTTGCATGAGAATATCGTCCTGGCATGATAGCAATCTGTTTGGTGCAGCAAAACTCAAGATGTTTCATTTTCTTCTTCCAAACTTCTTATCAGTGTAACTGAATAAAAGACGGCACTCAACTCCATGAACTGGTAGAGCCAAACCAACTTATCATGCCTCCTAGATAGTTATATTTGATAGGATCTAGAGATGAGTAGAGTATTCTATACCTCAATGTGTGCCAAACTACTAGATTAAGGTATTAACATTTCCCCGGATAGGATGACTTGGATGAAGTTGATGATACAGAGTTCTTAAGAAACTTAATTGATTTTGATGTGATAAAAAGAGTAGACTAAGAAAGAGATACAAATATGCCAGTACTGAAAGAACCAACTTACTAGAGAATTTTTCACGGTTTGGGGGGAATGCAAATTACTAGTCTTTGATAGATATTTTAAACCAGAATCAACTGTTTCAATCCCATTGGCATGGTTTGGAAATGAAAGTCGTTTCCCAGACTCAAAACCAGGTGTCAGCGCCGCCAAAGAATTCATATTCATTGTCCCATTAACAGCAGACACTGATGCCTGCTTAACTGGTGAGCTCAAATTTTTATCACTTGACATCTGAGCCTCGGGCTGATTATTTATGCTTTTGACACCTAGTACATCTTGCTTCTCATTATGTCCATCAGCAGGTGAGCCTTTTGCAACATGATCCTCCGCCTCGTAGTCCTTTGTTTCATCTATTTCAGATACAACTTTAGGGGCAACGTGAACTACACCATGAAAGGTACCATTTGACTTGGCATTGACAGCGTTGGGTTTCTTGTCAGTGCGTAAACCTGCAACATCCCTCCCCATCTGCCTGCATAAATTTGTGGCGAAGCATAAAATTAAAAAAAAGACAACTAATTTAGATCATAATTCCCCATTTTCTGTCACGTTCAATGTTATTATATGATCATATATAAGAATTTCAGTCGAGGAAATAAAGGTGGTTCTGGCATTCTTTAGGGCATAACTGGGAGAGATACTATTGACATATTAAATAGAGATACTAGAAAGAATATGGAACTTGTGCTGACTATTGGAAAATACAATGCGTACCCCCAAATTTTTTTTAAAAAAATGCCACCAATTTGCCATATTTTGGAAGAAATCCGTACTTATTATATCTCATAAAGGGAATAATGGGCTATGTCAAATTAAACAATACTAACGTAGCTTGCCCAAGAATATTAATAGATAGCTTAATTAATTATATCCTATATTACAATAAAGCAAAATTTTAAAACTTTGAGAGCAACCTGACCCTCACCCAACAAAAAAGTTACCAAAGAAAAGGGTGGGGACTTAGAGAAACACATTCATGGGCAAGAGAAATGTTGGCTCACGGCATAGTTACACTATTATCAATTTGAAAGTGGCCCCATTAGGAAAAACATCAATTTCAATGTCAATAAGGCTCAATAACACACACCAATCTGTTGCACTATTAGTTCTTTATGTCCATCAGTGACATGATGACATCTATAGAAATTGGAAACAATTTCAATTCTTTACACACTATTGCTCACCCAAGAGTTTCACATATGAACATTAATGAATCAGAAAGGAAAAATTCAAGTAGTAGCAAAAAATACTCCTCCTTAATAGGCTAGACCAAAGTTCAAACTGGTAATAGCCTACCAATCTAAAGCAGAAACTAAGAGAAAAGGAGATTAAATTTTAAAGTCCCCATCAAGAAGAAATCATGAAAAAGATGAAATTCCAAATAAATTTGAGAGAGGATTAATCTTATTATTATTGCAAATTGACAGCTTCCCAAGAGCACCAATCAACAGAGACTCGACCCAGAATATAATTCAAAAGCTAAAATAAATATGAAAGCACGGAAAAGCCATGATGGTTGCCAAATCTTAGAAATCATATTCAATATTGTTCAAAAAAATTCCCGTTTCTCAATTTTACTCTCGCATACAAAAAATATCATAGAAATCCCACGAGAAAAATATAAAATCCAAAAAAAAAAAAAAAATTGCATGCATCCAACAAAAAAAGCCCAAATCCCTCGTTTCTCCCTCCTCCCTTCAGCATAACAAAAAAAAAAGACCAAGATATACAACAATCTCCCATAGAAAAACATATATGAGAGAGAGGGGGGGTGGAGTGGGGTAAGGGACCAGAAGAAGAGTAGATTAGCTCAGCAGCAGGCACGAAGGTAGAGAGAGATGCGTATAATTGACAAGGAAACAAGCAGATCGAACCAAACAACACGAGACAATGCATGAAGTTGTTGAGAATTAAAAGGGCTAATAAAAAATTCTTACATATGAATTTTCTTCTTCTTTTTGGTTCCGATCCGGCGTACAAGATCTCCGACCACCACTCCTACCGACAACTCAACGTGACCCCAACTCTCTCTCTCTCTCTCTCTAAGAAGCGGACGTTTTCTTCCAGCAATTTATTATCCTTTTTGTTTTCTCTTTCAGTTCTCTGGTTAGTCTCCAATCTCGAAGCCGTTAATGACGGCACCTGCTGCTAATTTATCTTCTTGATCCCCTCTTTTTTTCCCATTTTTACAACAGTGTTGCGATGAAAAATAATTAAAAATTTTAAATTTATGTGTAATATTATTTTATTAAAAAATGTGTAATAACAATAGATCAATCATGCTATATGTACAATACTAGTTGACAACATCCTATTTGATATCATCATATTCATCCATTTTAAAAAATTGTTTTCGACATCACATGCTAGAATTTTGACAACAAATTGTTGCCAACCATTGTTGTCAACCAATGTTGTACACTTAGATTTATTCATAGACCAAATAACTGTTTTAGAATGCATTTTGATGAAAAAACGACTCAAACAAGGGCTATATTCGTCTTTTTCTTCTCTCTTTTCACTTTTCTTTTCAAAATTATCTCTGTAGTTAAATAATTAATTAAATTTATTAAAATTTTGATTTTAATTTTTAACGACGGTTAAAAATGAGAAACACGTCCATTTCATCTTTCTATTTTTCTCAATTTTCAAACAAATGTAATTGAGATCTCTGACTTTTTAATTGAACGGAGTAATTAACGGAGTAACAGAAAAAGAACTATTCAATCAACGTGCAATTTGGGGATGGGTGGCGGATTTGACTAATTGGTAGGTTAGTTGAAAATGATTAAAACCTACCAACGAAGAAATTGGTTAATCGTGAGTGTAATTAACGACGGTAATTATGGATGAGGATTGAATAATTATTATTAAAATCAAAAGTCAAAAAGCAGAAGACAGAAATTGGGTGGTGGGAGTTGATTTGTAATTTTTGAAATTGAAAGGTGGGAGTGAGAGCAGACAAATGGTAAAAGTCTGTGTGGGCCCAACTGTACTAAATTAATTGATTACTCCCACGGAATTAAGGATGAGTAACGTTAGTTTTCATGGCAAACAACATTTGATGGCAAACAATATGATTAATTTAATTGAACTTATCAAGTATAGTCACCTAAATTGATATTCATAAGTTAAATACTCGAACGGGTATCTGAATCAAAAATCGATAGGTTTGGTTCGATTCTCGATTTTTGACCAAGTACCGAAGAACCAAATCTAAATAATTTTTTAATTTTTTATATGAAATTAATTAAATTATTTTAATTTTTTCTAAATAAATTAGAAAATTAACTAATTTAGTTGAATAATTTTTAGTTTATTTGTGTTTATTGATTGTGCTTTTTCGATTATGCTTGTAGAGTTTCTTAGTACGACAAGTCAAGCAATTGATAATTAAATCAAATAATTGGTAAGTATTATCAATACTTAAAAATATTTTATTTTTATAAATTTTAATTTATATTTCATTTTTTTACGTAAGCTGCTTGAAGCAAATGAATTATTTATATGGATCACCGATATTTTAGTATTAGTGTCTACTTTTGATATTTGTATACATTGAATTAATTTTATTTGACAACTTGTTATTTATATGTTTTTAAATTGGGTTACATGAATTTGTAAAAGTTATGAATGAACATGTCATTAATTGTATTTATGTAATGTTGCTGTAAATGTTAAAAAATTTAATTATTATACGGAACCGAATCAAACCGAATGGAACCGAACCCGAACGATTCTATAATTATATTTAAATATAACGGTTCCATTTATTAAATATTCGAAACTTTTGGTCCGGTTCGATTTCGATTCTGAAGAGAATCAAACCGGACCATGTCCAGCCCTACTGTAACATCGCAAATATTAGACATCACTATTAGGAAACAACTTCTGTTATAACATGTACATTAAAACTTTATTAAAATAAAATAAAATTTTGGCATCAAAAAAATTTACTACCTCCACCCCACTAGATATGTCAAGTTTCTTTTTTCGTCTGTCCAAATTATATGTCACTTTCCTTATTGAAAGTATAGATATTTTTTCATTTTCTAATATATCCTATTTAATATACCTTGTTATCAATAAAATTTATACTTTCTTAATTTATTTGAAAATATAAAAGTAATATTACTTTACGTGGGTGTTAATTTATTAATTACGTGAAATAATTTGTAGTTAAAATATTATAAAAATATTAATGAAAATAATCATTGTAATACTCTCCTGAAGAAAAGACTATTGTTCTTGAATTACCCCAGTGAAAATAATACGTCAATGTAACGCCTATCGAGGATGCTCATAATATAAAATGTGTTTTATCTATTGAGATATGTGCCCAAAATATTTGGAGCTCATTGTACTAAGATAAACATTTCTAATATTGTTGAATAATAATAAAATTTTATATATTTATATGAAAGGGAATTACATCAATTTTTTTTTTTGAGCATGTGTATAAACTACCTTCGATTGATGGGTAAAAAAAAAAAAAAAGGATGTTTAGTGCATATTTAGTATACTGATCGAGGACATTTATATTCTATTAAACCCGTAATGGCCAGACATTCCTTAACCCTGACAAGAGGATCTCGAAATTTTCATCACATGAATCGTCTAATGCTAGGGGGACAATCTTGGTTGACAACACGAATTAATTAATATAGGTCAATAATGATATATCGAGAAGAAGATTTTTTATTTTTTTTAATGATCATACTAGGTTAATAATCTCATGAAATTTGTCATTTATTAGAAGCCTGATTGGTCAAATGCAAAAGGCGAGAATTGAAAATTTGAAATTTGTCCTAGTTCAAGCGGGAGATTGTAAATACTATTAATTTAGCACAAGGCATGAAGAGAGTGGATGGCTATTTGCTCCCATTAAAGAGGGCGGCGTGCTCAATGTGAATGCGTTTAATCCATCGCACGAGGGAGACTTCGTATGTTTGGTTATGACTTGTGACTATCAATAGACACTCACGTCTATGGTCAAGTCTTGTTCATATTGATGCAAGTGTCCCTACATTGCATTGCATGCATGTAGATGAAGGCAAAATTGCACCAAGATCTGCCTAATCCATTTGGGTCAAACTTGCAGGCAAAATTGGACTGAGATCTGCCTAATCCATTCGGGTCAAAGTGAA